GTATATTGATGACGTAATACACGTAACTGAGGAGCGAACGAAAACAACCAAGTGGAATTAATTAAGTCGAAAAAAAGAAAGTGTGCATTATAATCGAGAAAATGCGAATATTGGATTAATCTTTAAAATATTGGTATTAAATCTGTCTTATAAAATCACGACGACTCCTGTAAATCGAGTTATCCGATAAGAATAAAATACAATATCAATATAGCCCTTTTGTTGAAAAAAAATCGCTTATTTTTGCTCACCTCGAGTTTTGCTTAGTAGTGAATGGCTAAAAAGTGTTCAAAATATGTACGGAAATACGGTATTACAGCACCGCCTGTATTGGACGACCACCTGTCTAAAAGACCACTTTTTGAATAAACCGTGGGTGGTCGCCATAGACAGGTTTACTGTACTTTGTTATTTATTACCGGAATCATCATTGTTCACTTCAAAAATTACATTAGGCACATTTTTTTGAGAAATTTTATAAGTTATTAACCGTATTTTAATTTAAATTCTTAAGGAAACCAAACCCTAACCCAAATCCTTTAAAATCTTCATTATTATTTATCTGAAAGCAAAAGCAAGAACGAAAAGCAATTAAACTCGTTTCTACCCTCTAAATGTGTTATTTATTAATAACTTACATTATTAATTAATAATACTTCTTTTTAATTTTCCTATACAATACATTAGAGCGCTGTACATGTATCCGTTGTCATTGAACAGATACGTGAATATCATTGAAGTGACTGTTTCTAAATACCAAGAAGAGGTATTTAATTAACAGTATTTCGCATGTTTAGTAATCATAGAAGTGTTGAAATTTGTTTTAGCAGCTGTAATATGTTCGATATTATTTTAGGCATCCTGTTAACATATTTTAAGATAAAATATGTTAAGAGAATAATATAAATATAACGTACAAGTGTTTTATTTAGAACGAAACAGTTCTTCAGTTTTAGAATTTATGACAATTTATTCAGAGGAAATTCTATATATAACTGAAATTTCAGAATACTGATCCACAGTTAATGTACTACATCCCTACGAAGGTGACTCTGTTAAATTAACGAGTAAGTAATTTGCTATTCTTATTTTAATGTTTGCATTAATTTGTTATACATTATTTTTTGTGGATAAAGGTTCGCTTAATGCTGTCAAAAATAAAATAATAAATGCAACAGTGCGTGATACTGCTAAATCTCTTAACACAAGCGACTCTGATTGTGTTCCAAGTTGCGCTTACACTAGTGATTTTTTTTTTTTCGCAATTTTGTCGTAGTTGTTTTATACACGAATATTGATTAACATTCAATATTTTAAATCGTCTTCACTACGTTTCCGACTACAAAAACCTCTCGAAATTCCAACGACAGGGTATCCAATAACAGATTATTATTATTTTCCCACGTGTAAAAAACTGAGTTTTTTGATCATGGAAAAATGCACATTTTTTTGCACTAAAAATTATTTTAGTGAATTAATTGGTTTGTTAGTGATCTAAATCTAATACGCTATATAAAGGAAAAACTTGTCAGTTTGTCCTTTATATATTCAGACATGGTTTGAGGAAGTGCAAAGAAACTGTTCAGGACCGTCCTCTAATCTGGGAGGAAGTCAACGGCCACTTTTGGTAGAAATGATTTTAATCCCACGCCCGCAACAACCTCCCTCTCCATCTGACCGACAGAATGGTGGCATTTGAATAGGAAAATGATTTAATACAAAGCTACCAGTGCATATCATGTACTGTATTTTATATTTTTAGGTGTTTTCGAAGGTGCAGAGTTTAAACATTTGGTCCATTTTTTTCGAAATGGGATTGGTTGGCAGATTATCGTTTCGCATTTGGCTGTGAAGTGTACAGTACGTTACAGTTAACATAAAAAATTTGAATGACTCGAATTATCTTTTGGTATAGGTGGAAGTCAAAGACAATTTTCTAATGAAAAACAGCGATCCTTGTCTACCTACTAATGAAATTATGCCATTCGGAACCATCCGAGTATCGCCATACACATCGCAACGGCAGTGGTGCATTATCCTATGGGCAAAAAAAGACAATTGCCAATCTTTTATAAGAAAATACTTCCTCCAAAAAATTCCCTATGAAAAAATTGTTTAGGTCAACACTGTACGTGGTGTTCCCTAATTCAAATTCGTCTGGGTCCCAAGAGGCTGTAACGTGCCACTGGACAACGGTAGGTTAAAATAACCAAACTCTTAATACGATTTTCATTTTAATGTTTGATGTTCTAAATTTTGGTCCGGGCATATCTGCTAGCCCTACGTAATTTGCTCAAAGGGAAATTCTGCCGATATCCACAGTGACCACCGTTTCACCAAAGTAAAAATTAAGTACATACGTATTTATTTTGAAATGTTAATTAATTTGATCCATTTTCAAAATTTTGATATTTTGTTTTTATTAATAAGGATTAATTCAATTGCGTACTTGTAGAATGAATTCTGGCAATGTCTTTATTGGCAAATTATTTCGTGGCATACATTTTATAAAACACAGGAATCGCGTAGAAAGTATATTTACAGTGTTAATTGTTTATCACTAATTCTAACATTTAAATTGTGTCATATTGAACTTAGTTTTATAATTTTTTCCTCCTGCTATTCGAAGAAATAAAAATCGTGACGTTTTCTGTAAAATTACAAAAAAAAAAACTTTCTGAAAAATATAAATCATTCTGCTATCAAAAATAAAAAAATTCAGTTTAAAATATTCTGCTACCAGAAGAAATTTGCAACATTTTAAAATTTTATATTGAGCACAAGAGGTGAATAAATGTCAAGTAAAATAAATTTTCTGTTTATAAAACTAGCATTTATGTTATCTGTACAGTAAATAACATCAAAAATCTAAAGTATTGCATTCTTTAATATATTTTATAACAGATTACTCTCTGTAATGAACTAAATTCAATAACATAATTTCTTCCTGTTTCATTTGAAGAAACGTAAAAAATAATTGAATGAGAAATAATCAATACTTAAAAGATGCCCTCCTAAGAACTGATAATTAAAAGGTAAGATTAAACAGTATTAATTTCAAATTAACATTAATCACTTTTGAGACAATGATCGATATTATTTTTAGTTAAAAAAATTTAAGTCTAAATTATTTTTATTTTAATCAATATTAAATTAAAAGCAAAATAATGGATTTAATTTTAGCAAATCAATATGTATATTTAATATATTTATAAGATTTTCCTTAAGGTTATCTTTGTTTTTACTTGTAGTTATCAGTAATTTCTAAAGATTAAATAATAAAATTTCTGATTAATTTAATTTTTTTTAATATTAATATTTATCTAGAATATTAGCAGTTGATTATATAATAATGAGTAAATTACTATGATGTGCTTCTTCTCTAGACTTATTAATGACTTGCAAGCACTAAGATTGGCCTTACTTTACTTCAGACTTTGAATGAGCTGATGAGGGACTCAAGGTCCAAAATGCATTCTGAAAATAAAACAGTGTTTTTCTAAGTCTAATTTGTGGTCTTGTGATGGTGTAATAAGTCTAGCAGTAAAGAAAGAGTAAATTACTATTATATACATTCAAACTTTTATTATCTGTAAACAAGTATATTAAACTTTAGTTGCTGTGTTTAACAAAATAATAGTGCAGGCAAATAATACTGAAATTGTACTTAATAATTATAAATAATTTATTTATTTAAATGCAGAAATTTGTATAAATTTTAATATACAAATTTATACAAGAAACTGTTATTTAGAACTTTATATACTTTAATAAATAATCAAAATATTTTCCTTTGTATGTGATAACTAAAATTTTTCTCTTCAAGTGTTTATAAATGAAATAATATACAGCAGGACCCTGCCATACAGAGACTTGCCATGAGCAGTTTAAGATTTATTAAGGTCTGGAAAAATATGGAAAATACATAAAATACTCTTAATTGTAAGGTGACCAATTGTCCTCTTTTAGAGACTTCTTTTTTAAGTTCTGTCCTCCCTCGAAAAGTATCCTCCTACATGTCCTCCTTTTCGATATTTGAAGACTAATCTGTAAATCTCCATATTCGATTGATGCCAAGCCGATCCGTTGTATGTGATGTGTTTATATTTAACATGATGATTTGTCAAGGCTTGGTACAGTGCGACAAGATGTGATTATGAGACGCATGTGCTCTGCACAAAAGACTTTGAGAGAGCGTGCCGTGTGGAAGTGGCTTTGTTTACTTCTTACTGAAATATTACACAGCACATACACATGCAGTAGATATTATTATAGTGTATTATTGTTGCAATGAATAAAATGTTTCTTTTATTATGATATTTTTTCCTTCAATTTATTTGCGTCTTCCTTTTCATTGTAAAATAGTTGGTCACCTTATTAATTGTGAACTAAATCATGTTGTTTTTTAAAGTGCATGCATGCATGAAGTCTTTGTAGCTTCTCATTACTCTGAATCATTTATTTGTTTTGCACTAAACACTGGGTCTCACATCAGTCTTTGGCTGGAGTTCTCACTTGAAACAACAGGCTCTGTCTATGTGATATCATTCTTCTCTTCATTTTCATTTATGCTAATTCCTTTGCAAACATGGCTTCAAGATGCAAAAATAGTGATTCCTGTAGCTCTGATACGTGAAAGGAAAGCCAGAAAATGCCTAGTTTAGAAAAAAAAATTATAATTTTAGTATTGAGTAAGAATAAAAAAGTTACTTCCAAAAATTTTCTAAACTTGCTTTTATGATTTACAATATTATGCTATTTATTGTTAATATAGTGTGTATTTGCCTTATTTATATTAACAAAATATGTGTTAGGTATGTTAGTACAGGAACTACTTATTAATTAATGGGGTTCACTATTTTCTGCTATATAAGTGGTCTTAAAATATATTGGTCACATATGGCACGACCATACTGTATACAGGTATACCTCGCCTTACATCGGTAATTGGTTCCAGGAGAACAACGTNGGCTAAACCATAAATTACCATTCCTGGTTCTGTATTTTATTTATTAATGCGTTTTTAATAATATATGGTTAATAAAAATCTATTTTAAGCCTACAAACAAATAAATTTTAGTTTTTAATATAGTACAGAAAAAAGTAATTTAAATTTACAAATGCGTGTACTGTAAATACAGAAATACTCGTAAATATTTTTTAATATGATTTTATGTGCTTTAAATTGTTTTTATAGTGATATTACGACTTCAATATTTGTGGCAGACAGATGTAAAGTCGAATAAAATGACTTAAACTTCATTTTTATTTTTCCATATACTTTTTTGACAAACGATGTATAATCAGGAATGACGTAACTCGAAACGACGTAAGTTGAGGTATGTCTGTATTAATAAATTTGAAATAAAACACACTTTTGTTTGCATTTTGTTTGAAAATTTTAAAGTGTGTTTTATTTCAAATTTAAATTAACAATTGTGTTCAGTTAAAACACTTACCAGAAGTGGTAAATAAAAAATTAATTTTTCCATTATTTTCAGCAATAAAAATTAAAATATCCTTCATATTCATAAGATTCATATTAATACAAAATAGAACAGTAGTGAAGTATAAAAAAATAATACTAGTGATAAGTTATTTGATACATGTATGCTTAGATACCATTCAGAGACTATAATGCATGTAGAGCATCAATTATCTAAAAAAATCAATTAACCAAAATCAACTTCAGACGATATTAATTCCTCATCTGTGCAAAGTTTTTACATAATAACGATTGTCGACAATCTTTAGACCCAGTATTGAGCTATTTCATTATTATTAACTTCATTATTATGTATTTTTTACTTTGAATTCAAAATTTCATGTGTTATACCAATTTATTAATTGAAGTAATTGTAATGAAAAACTAATGCTTGATTTTTAATATTGATATTAAAATAATAATATTACTTCATTTCATACAATATTCAACATTATCTGTTATGTTAAATAATATATAGGCATGAAAATGGAAATAAAAAATTTGTTTTCAATACTGCAAATAAAAATCTTTCAAAAAATTTTGTTACAACAAATTCCATGAGATTTTTAAACAATAACACCGTGATGAAATTTTATTATATTGAATGTAAATGAAATATCAATTGTAAGTGAAAAACATTTAAAAACAAGCAATTAATTATTGTGACATTGTCACAATGCCAAGCTGCAATTTTTAATCATATTTTAAATTAATTTAATTTAATATATATGCTCTCCATTCAATTAAGTAATGGCTTGCCCCTGTACATCATACTTTTCCTTTAACAAGAGTTGTATCGGTCATCTATTAATTTAACTGCTTTCAGAGGAAGTTCTGAATTGAAATAATGTGACTTTTGGTTTGTATTGGGAGTTCATATATAGTTAATCAGGGCCTCGTGTCCCTAAGGTTTCCATATCTAGTCTCAGATTTCATCTAACTCTGTTCTCAAGATTAAGGAAAGACAGACAGATGACAGTGGGAATTTATAGGTCTATAATTTTTTAAAATTGCAGCCCCAAAAACATATATAAAACAAAAAATTGAAATTTATTTATACTTACTTAGGATATGAAATTTACTTACTTTTAGTTTCCCAGCTGTTATACAAGGTGGTTCTCTCACTAGGAAACCAAGACATTCCTCAATAGCTTTTCTATAAAGCAATAGGAGCTACTTTCAACATTGCTTTAGGAAAACCTCATTTTGCAAGATACAAGATAAATTTTCTAAGCATGTCAATTTTCATGTCAAGCTGACAAGCATGTCAATTTTCATAAGAAACCATGAAGCATGAAGCAATAAAACAGTTATTGAGGAATGATTTAGACTCCTCAGTGTCTTTGCATTTTGCAACATTTTGACACTCCAGAAACAAAAATAAAAAAAAAAAGTTTACAAAATTGTCTTTTGTGTGTGTACATTTAATTTGCATTATATTTCAGGAGTAGATGAACCAAGAATTTTGAAACAAGGCAGGTTTATTTCTATACATGAAGTATTGATGCTATTAAATTTTGGTAATAAAGATGGTAGGGAGATAGAAGAGAGGTCATGTGTCATATTTCAAGTGAGATCAGACCTAATGAAAGTTTACTTTTCTTAATTGGAAACCATGTCTGTCTTTCTATTTGGTTTATATCACACAATGAAGTGTAGAACAATTAACACAGGAAAAGTCTTGTGTTGACTGTGCTACACTTCATTGTGTGATATAAACTAAACAGAAAGTTACTAATATGCAGTTTCTTTATAAATTCATTCCTATCCCCAAAAATAAGCCTTTGGCCTTTTTGTAATAATCAATAATATAAAAATTATTATTTAATAATAACTCATAACAGATGACACATAACTAACTTTCTAAGTTATCAGTGTTGAGAAAGTCAACCAAGATCCCTTGTAAGCTTTCTTATCTGTATTTGTTTAAAAAGTATCTAAAAGTAAATTTCAGAAAAAATAAATAAAACAAATTATTTATTGTTTCTAATTTGAAACAATCTCTGTGGAAAAAATTGAAGTTAAGATTACTTAAAATAACTAAATAATTGTTTTAAATAACTACATAAAAGATTTTATCATTTTGTAACCTAGATAAGTATTATTACAAAAAACTTTTATCATCTGCTAGTATTATTTTACTGATATATTATGTTTCTATGAAATATTACTAATCAGTTTATTTAATTTCTTATTAATAAAACAAATACTGCTTCATAGATATATAGAAAAAGAAATGTTCATTTAAGTCAACTTTTCTGTTTAATTAAGGACATATCCAGGTACCTTTTCCTATATTTGATTTCTGTTCTTTCTTCCTAAAAAAAGAAATAAAAAATAAATAAACACATTCATTATTATTATTATTAAAATTTAAAGAACTTCAAACATTAAAAATAAACACACTCATTATGATTATTAAAATTTAAAGAACTTCAAATATTAAAAAATAAACACACTCATTATGATTATTAAAATTTAAGAATTTCAAATTAAGACAAATACAGTAGGACCTGCAACTTAATCCCCTGTACCTCTCTCTCCCTGTGTATCCACCATTGTCTACTGTTGCCAAAAGTCTGTTAAATCAAATGTATTTTAAGGAATATTAATAACAAACTTAATGTATAGAATATATTAAAATGTTATAATATATCACTATCAATAAATTATTATTATAATTTAAATTGAGTAATTTATACTCATTGATGTATTAACCCAACCTTTTGTGATTTCTACTCACGAATTAAATTTTTCCTTTAAGATAAAAAATGTTAAATAGGGATCCATTAAAATGAGGGTGTACTGTAATTTTAATTATTTTTGTTCCTCTACCAAAATTATTGATGAACAAACTTTTCCTTTAATTTTAGTTGTAGCCAAAAACTATTTTATCAACTATTTATTTTCTATTATCATTTACATATAATTAAATTAACTTGTATCATTTATGCCCAAAGACAAGTTATTCTTAGAAAGTTCGATAACAGAGTGTTATTTTATATTAGACTTTTTATTTCATTTAATTATTAATGAGCAAATGCAGCAGTATAATGATATTACAATGTAAATTATAATTAAAGTTTGACAAATTAGTTGTAATAAATTCTCCTTAAAAGATAGACTCTAGAAACTTTAAACTTGTTTATATGTAAATTTTGTAGCTACAACTCTAAATAATCAAGAATCCAGTAACAGTCTTAGAACGGCAACTTTAATCTAATTTATTCTGCAATGCTTTTAGATCTCTTGTATATGAACACATTTAAATTCTTAATTACTTCATTTATTCAAAGAAGAAATCTATTATATTTAAATAATTTTTTGTTAAATAATTATCAACATTTTTAAACTTTTATTTAAATTACTCTTTTTATCTTATACTGATAAATAAATAAATCTAATTTCGTAAAACTTTACAATTTTAGCATTAAGAAATTATCTACAAATAGCTTTAAAATTTATTTTTATATGTAATTTTGTTTATAATATGAAGTCAGCTGATTAAAAATTTACTAAAGCCTGTTGAGAACTTTAAATCTGATTTATTTATTTTTTAAATCTTTCGGTTAATTAGTTATTTAATTAGAATATACAAGGTGACCCAAACTACTCTACATCCATTTAAAATGGAGTTGAGTTTCATCAAAAATCCTAAAAATTTTGACAAGTAAATTGCATACATTATTAAATTGTAATATTTCAACTTCTGGTACTGGCTGAAAGACAAATTTTTAAATGAAAAGTGGTAATTTTTTATTTAAATTTAAATTAAACTCAAAAAAATAAGTTCATTTGGTCTCAAACATTTTCTCTGAAAATGCCTCTATTGACCTTAAAACAATCTTGAAAGTATGATGCATGGAGAAAAAGTGACACTGTGAAAATAAGAAAATATCTTATGTAGTCAAAAGATAATAAAAATGTTGGCATGATAATCATATGTAATTGATGCCAAACTACAATAATAAAAGTTGTCATTACTACTACATAGAATTTTTCTTTGTTTAAACTCTTCTGGCATAACCTACTTGGCATTGATTTTCACTGTTGTTCAGTCAAAATGTCCAAATTGAGCACTGTTCTCACTGATACAAGCATCCACTCTGCTTGAAATTGAATTTGTTGCTTGTAGAATGACTACATAGATCACTATGGCAAATCTGATAGGTGTGTAACTGAAAATGAAAACTTTATTCAAATAAAAGTGTAAACATGAGCGTAGTGTTTACATTTGTCGATACTAAATATTCAGCCTGCTGAAAAATTTCAACTAAATGGCTTATAATAAGGTTATGCCAAGAAGAGTTCATTGTGCTTTCAAGTTCATGTAACAGTTGATGGAAGAATTTTCAGAAGAAATATTGAAATCATCATTTGATAGAGTAAATTGGGTACCAATTTACTTACCAAAATTTGTAGGATTTTTGATGTAATTCATTTCCATTCATTTTAAAATGAGTGTACAGGTGGCCTGGGTCACCCTATATATTTATTTTATATTACATAATATAATCTCTATCTAAGTTTTAATCTTAAAATAAATTTAATTTTTGCTCTATTCCAAGAGTGCACTATTGATTCATGATGTAAAAATCTGCTGAATTATATTTAAGATTAAATTGCAAATGATAAAAAAAAAAAAAAAAACAGAAATTAAACTCATATCACTCAGTAGTGAATAGGAAATTTTTCTAACTTGAAATAGCTTCTATACCTTGAAGGAAGATTAAAATTCTTCTCTAATATTATATTACATAAGTGATTGCTTAGAAGTGGAAGAAAAATAAATATCTGCTTGAATTTGCATAATTTCATATCTCATCTTTCCAAAAATTACCATTATTCTAAAATAAACTAAAAAATCAAATCAAATCATCATACATTTATTTTCTGTTCAAAAATTAATATTATAATCCAATTAAACAAGTCAGCAACAACAAAAAATAATCATCATCTGCTTAAAAACTTACATCTTACTTATATATTTGAAACAAGAGAATTGAGTATAATATTGTCAATAAAATTAATTCAATTAGAGAATATTTTCACAGATAAAACATAATTCAACATGAAATAAAGACAATTAAATTTGAATACTTTTGAAATTAAATTCATGAATTATTTGTCATAATACAAGCTAGAGATATATTTTAAAGTACAACTTATTCAAGATTGTAGACCAAATGATGCTGTAGTCCTCTTCTTATCTACAGCCTTGAATATATAAACAAATATTTTAAATTATTTAACAATTATATTAATTTGTAATACTGTAAAAGCCATCCAAAATGGAATGGGATTACCTAAATGAGAAAAATTTTTAACAGTGTAGCAATTTTCTGTATTAAAAAAACTGTTTGAAATGGAAACCTGCCAAACTAGAAAAAATATTCAGTACCGTATGAGTCCATTTACACAAGTTTTACTCTAATTATTAAACATCACTAATTATCAAATTGTATATATTTTATTGAATATTCATTATACAATTGTTTATATAAATAGATTAATTTCTTTTCTTTCATTTCAGTATTAAACTTGCATGAAAATACTAACTGTAGCTATAACTATGGTTAATCAGTTGTATTTAAAGTGCTTTTTGTATGCTAATATGCAATAGTAATATGTACAGTGATAGCATATCCTGTTAAGTAAGTCAAACTAAATATTGATATTAAATTTCGTAATTTTGATAAGTCACTTTGATAAAAATTTTTAAAACAAAAAACTAAATATCCAATTCACACGTCTTTCCTTTGAATATAACCTTTCTAAAAAACTCAAGCACTTTTAAGTATATATCCATTATCAGGAGTAAACAAAGAAATGAGTTTACTCTGATAAAACAGAGTGAATTTTTGAATTGGATTTACAAAACAGGAAAAAAAAGAATGTTTTAATGGAATTCAAAAACATAAAATTATAAGTTGTACTCCTTTCAGACTTAGATCCATTATACAGAATGCTTATAATGGAAATGAAATTGTTAAAACAAATAATAATAATTTTTTAAAATTTGTGATGGCTTATGTATTGGATTTACATTTGAGTAGTTTTCTTATTCTCCTCTTTACATATATAATTAGCAGCCATTTGTTAATTACATGTACAGTAAAAGAGAAAAAAAAGTCACAAAGAATATCAATATATACAATGGAGAGGGAGACCAGAGGAAATTTGCTGGTTCCAAGCAAATTTGAATTACGGGCCACACACAAAGTGATGACTGTGATACATTTCTTCGAAGGAACGTCCTTATGAAAGATCAGTTTATGACCCCAAGCAATTGCCCTTTTTTGCCACCGAGGGAGATGTTTGAGGTACTATCTATGTGGACTCTTTTAATCGTATAAGTGTCATACAAATTTATTTTTATAAGCCCACTTACATGTAACTACTACACTTAGTAGTAGTTACATGTATAAACTGTCAGTAAACTGTTTTCCAGAACTTTTTAAAGTCATTTCTTCGGTTCATGCGTATACTCACATGTCAGTGTCGTACGTGTAATGTAAGGGAAAGGTCTGCAGAAAGCACATCATAGTACACAACAGAGGAAAGGGCCAGAAGTGTTTGTTTGTTTATTTTGTTAAGTTACAGTAACACAACACTTGAGCAATCTGCCTAGGGGGCCTTCCAGTAGGTCTTTTTAAGCCCCTATTCGGGTATTACAGACTTAGGAAAAAACCTGGAAAACTCCACGTGGCCAGCCCGTTCTGGTGAGGCACAAACCCATGACTGAACTCTGTGTTCAGGAAATGGAACCACATGGCCACTGGTGGGCCGGGTCAGAAATTGCTCAAAAACTGTACACATAATTAATACAGGATAAATGAATAATTGGAAAGAATAATTATATATAATTGATAAAGCTGTGTTTCTTATTGTATTATTATTAATAATGAATAAACAATGTTGATATAAATATTACATTGATAGAGTTACAATGGAAAACTGTATGAATCTGCCATTATGGTAATAACCATCAACTAAATATGTAGAGAACTTAAGAATTGTGCCGGTGTATATATCCAAATTAAGGCCTTTTTTCGAATTAAGTTATAAATTTATTACTAATTACCGTTATATTAAAACGTAGAAGTTCGCGGTCTCGTTACCATGGTAATAAACAACGTCACGTTTGATGCAGACGACATCACGCACCTTCTACTGTATAGCCATTACGTGTACGAATTAAAAATACATGTATACGTTTCCTGTAATCATTATTAAATTTCCAGTTATCGTAAAATTATTGAGAATTGAAAAAAATTAAAAAATAATAAACTCTAACTCTTATGAATTATATAAGAGTATAAATCTTCACGCTTGAAGTTACAGAAATTTCAGTAGATATCGGTGTAAAACATCAGTAAATAAAATTTACTAAAACTTGATTCATTTTAATTAAATGGTATTATTACTCCTAGATATTAATAATAATAAAATTTAATAATAGTTATTAAATTTTTCGCTAAATGTCGAATTTATTTGTTTATTTTTAGTAGGTTTTCAGAAATTTCAGTAGATTTGAAATTTCGAAATAATTTCTTTCTTTCGTTCTTCATTATTTCTTCTTTTTTTCTTTTAGTNAAACTGTAGAGACATATAAAAAGTTCAGTTGAAAGATCTCGTCACATGCCTATTGGCTAGTTCCATTTACAGGTTTCTTTAACTATGTACTATTTATAAGGAAAATCCTTCACTGGTTAAAAATGAAAGAAAAAGAAAAAATGAAAGAAAAAATGGTTAAATTTTAGCAAAAATAATTTACATTTTGAAATATTTTATTATTTACTTTAAATGTTTAAATTACTGTATTTAAAGAATTATTTTAAATTGCTGATTTAGACACTGCTACTTTTATTATTAATACATATCAGTTTTTATCGCTTTATTACTTTCTCTGCTTTGTTATATATAAACAGAGGGGAAGTATGCGATCGGTCAAAAAATGACCCCCAAAATTTCTACATTTGTGGACTCACGATACCTCAAAATGTCGACAAATGCAAAAAAATTCGGGTTTTTTTTTCTGTATGTGTGTATGTGGGAACACGATTTTGTTCACACTGTTTGAAGTTTAATAATTCTCGTGCTTTTTGTCGAAAATTTCTGAAATTTTACAGGGATGTTTGGGTATTAGGGGAGCGATGCTAATAAATTTTAGGGGTTAAAGGTCAAAGGGAAGTTACAGGAGTTAGGTGTCATATCTTGAGTAGGGTCGGACTTAATGACGATTTTTACTAATTATCAGCATTCAGATTTTTAAATAAAACCCATTCCTACGCTCAAAATCAAGCTGTTTGCCGTTTTATAATAATTAAAAATATAAAAAGTTTCAATAATTAAATGTACAAACTTAATTAACAGTTTGGAAGCAAAGTTTTCGATTTATAAATTATAAATCAGGTAAAACAAAGATCATTTTAAATTTGGCGCCATGTTAAACAATGATCATTAGGCCTATTTTATATAGTTTCTATCATATCAGGCTTAATGAGCATTAATAAATAATGCTTATCAGTAGTGAATTAAGACCTTCCGGGGCCCCTAGGCACAGAAAATTGCAGGTCTACACAATATTACATTATAAAGTAATTATGACCTACATCTAATTGTTAACTATAGAATTATTTATAAATTATGATACACAATTGCTTTATTTTTCCCAATTTGTGGGCCCCATAGAGCCACACTACTAGGCATAGAAGATTAGAGGCCCCTCTACATAATATTACATCATATATATAATTGTAGCTATTGAATTATTTGTAAATTATGATATATAATTGCTTTATTTTTTCAAATTTCGAAGCCCCACAGACTCAGGTCCCCTAGAAACTGGGCATTCCGGCATTGATGCTTTTAGTAAACTTATAACAAATAAAAGAATGTATACTTGACGCTCGTGACAGGTTAATGCTTTTAAGGAATGAAATATTAAGTGTAATTTAAAAAAAACAACGTGAAATTCAAACACTTTATATTAATATTTCATAAAAATACTTTCACATACAACATTAATTTTAAAGCAAATTAAATATAAATTTTATAGATTGAAGTTTGAAAATATTTTACCCTGTATAAATTTCTAGTTAAAACAACTAATTTTATTTACTTATTTATTTATAAAACTGTGTATTATTATAATAAAATTTTAACTTTGGAATATTTTTATTATTTTAGGTCTTTTTTAATGCTTGTTAGAACATGTTTCTAGAGCTGCTGCATACCTTGAAGACCTGTAAATAGAACTAACGAAGGGGGAGACTGGAGGTGTGGTATGAATCTTTCAGCGTACTTTCCACTTCTTACTTTTTTTTTTCTTTTCCTTTAATAAATCGTTTAGGTTTTTATATTTAAGCGTCTAAATTTGTATCAATTAGTGATAAAGTATTCAGATATTATGTTTCCAACTCTTAGAATGGTTAAAGATATTCAGTGACAAATTGTTGAAAGGAAAAGTAATTTGGAATGGGTGTAGAAAATTTATTGTGACGAAATTTTTAGGTTTATCGTCTATAAAATATTAATAATATGCTTAAATCATGTTTATTGATTAATATTGAGTAGGTTTCTTGTATTTAACACATAATTTGAATTAATTTAGTTGAAATTGTTAGAATAAGACAATTTATACAGTTAAAAATGCATCACAGTAGAAAGACCTCTTTGTAAAATTAAAGAATAATTTTTTAATTCCTATGTTAGTCCATTATCTTAACCTGTAACACATTTAGAAATACAGTATTAATATCATTAAACAGATAAATAATAATTTAGGGTGGATTTAAAGAGGACATAATTAAATTTAAAAATTTTAATGGATATTTTTGAACAGATATAATCACTACAACGTTATTAAATGCTTTGTAAGTACTAAATAAATGTATAAATAATTTTAAGTATAGTTTTTTGTATTGTAATACGATAAAGCTTTAGTTGAAGCCACGTATTTATTTTATAAAACTAACAAATTTAAAGATGACAGCAGGTGTTAAAATAAGCAGTTTGAATTGATTACAACAGAAGTAGCATGAGTCATAAGCGGAAGGGAAGAAATGACAGTAAAAATAAAAAATAAAAAAAAAATATTTAAGGAAGGATGTGCATGTTACTGTACATCTTTATAAAGCTTGACTGTTAACGGATGGAATTTTTAGAGTTTATATATTTGTAAACTGTAGAGACATATAAAAAGTTCAGTTGAAAGATCTCGTCACATGCCTATTGGCTAGTTCCATTTACAGGTTTCTTTAACTATGTACTATTTATAAGGAAAATCCTTCACTGGTTAAAAATGAAAGAAAAAGAAAAAATGAAAGAAAAAATGGTTAAATTTTAGCAAAAATAATTTACATTTTGAAATATTTTATTATTTACTTTAAATGTTTAAATTACTGTATTTAAAGAATTATTTTAAATTGCTGATTTAGACACTGCTACTTTTATTATTAATACATATCAGTTTTTATCGCTTTATTACTTTCTCTGCTTTGTTATATATAAACAGAGGGGAAGTATGCGATCGGTCAAAAAATGACCCCCAAAATTTCTACATTTGTGGACTCACGATACCTCAAAATGTCGACAAATGCAAAAAAATTCGGGTTTTTTTTTCTGTATGTGTGTATGTGGGAACACGATTTTGTTCACACTGTTTGAAGTTTAATAATTCTCGTGCTTTTTGTCGAAAATTTCTGAAATTTTACAGGGATGTTTGGGTATTAGGGGAGCGATGCTAATAAATTTTAGGGGTTAAAGGTCAAAGGGAAGTTACAGGAGTTAGGTGTCATATCTTGAGTAGGGTCGGACTTAATGACGGATTTTACTAGTTAACATTTACAGATTTTTAAATAAAACCCATTCCTACGCTCAAAATCAAGCTGTTTGCCGTTTTATAATAATTAAAAATATAAAAAGTTTTAAATAAAATATCATAACGGATGACTCAACACACACACACACACACACACATACACAGTTTTAAATGTTGCCGGAAAAGTGAAGTAACTCGTTGCTGGATTTTATTATTATTATTATTATTAATTCTTAGATATAAAACTTGAATTATACTCGTTATTTCTAAGCGCACGAACATATATTTAATTAATAATTAATGCTAAAAACGTCAATATTAACTTTGTAATTAGTATTTATTAAATACATAAAAAAATGATAAAAGTAAAATTCAAGGAATTTTGGAATTCAGTGCATTTCTGTCTTTATCATAAATCTCAATTTTATTTTCAAAAATAAAATAAAACTGTGAATTTAATCTTGTCAGTGGCACGTGACTCGTTTACGATCAAATGACTAAATTTTAAAATTAAATGGGGGAAAAAATGTGAATATATTTAATGTATAAGCCTTATTGATCCAAGTCCGAACACGAAATGAATGGTAAATATTTTATATCCGATTTCCTGGAGAAAAATAATAATAAATCAATATTTAAAAGAAAAATATATATTTTTCTAAAATACTTTCGTATAAAATTCTATGAAAAGACGTGTAAAAAATGTAAGAAATATACTTTAGAAGATTGTTTTTACATTATTCATTTCTTTTATAAGTTAATAATTTTTAGAGAAATTAATATATATATAGACTGTATTTTATT